CAAATAGAATGAAGAAGCATTTATTCCTGGCTTCTGGCCACGTCATAAATTCTCCCCTAAAGTGAAACCTTTCCCAAATCCAGAGTCAGGCCTGGTACAGGCAATCGGAGCTCACCCCGGTCACCCCTGGGAATCTTGCTGCCACAGGGTCCCCAGCAGCAGGAGGGAGTAATGGGAAAAGGCTGGCCGGGTGTCGGGACATTTCCTTCTGAAACTTTAAAGTAAGTTCAAGAAACAAGTTTCAAGGATGCATCAAAGTTTCCTTATATACCCAACCAACTCTGTATTATCACCAGTTCAAAAAGAGCCCTCGGCTTGCTCACTGCACCTTACTCTTGCCATTTGCTAAGGAGGAACGAGAAACACATAATTCCATCCCTGGGACTTACTATGCATTTCTTTGCTTGTCTGATTTTGTATTGTATTTTTGTGAGGGGAGGTATGGTAGAAATGGAAATTACTGGATAATGAGATTCAGGGATTATTTGAGGATTTACTGTCATACATTCTCCTCCCTATTGCAAAGCCTAATGGAGACTTGGCTATATTTTTATTGTCATTTAAGTAGCCATGGAGGTTAGACCAGAGAGAATGCCCGGCGGGCAGATCACAGCATTTGCATCCTAATTTATTCTCACAGACGCCGACGCCGAGTGAGTCCTGCAGGAAGCCAGGGCTGCCAACTCCCAGACATCCAACACAATTGCTGTAGCAAATAACATTAGCATGTGGTTGTTGAAAGTTTTCCTTAGCCACACAGATTCTGCTGGGGCCGGCGTCGGCTAGACCAAGTCAACTGAGGTCATTCCACCTCCCCTGCCAGCCAGTTGTTGTGGCACTGGCCACGTGACCCGGCCATGAGATGTAAACGAAACTGCCGGAAGCTTCTGGAAATGTTTTTCCATCTTAGAGAACGAAACAGGACAGGGATCTGCTCCTCCTTGGTGAGGCCTCTGCGTGTGGCAACAGGAAGCCATGCCAGGTCCTTCTGGCGGGAAAGGTCAAGAGCGTTTCTGAGAAGCTGGCCCCGGGTCCTGACATCACAGAGCCAACTGATGAAACCACCTCCGGCCGCCGCCTTCAGATGGTCATGCTGCAGGAGAGGGCAGTTTCCTCATTATGGAAGCCACTTCACTGGGTACTCCGCCAGCTGCACCCAAGACGTCACAACAGAGTCCAGGCTCCGATGAGAATCGGCAAACACAACTGCCAGCAATCATCGGCAAACACTGACAAGTGATCCTGCCCGCAGCTGGCACGAACACCTTTGGAAACTCGCTGGGAAATATACATTGGTACAGTTTTTTTTTTTCTTAAGGCCAGTTGGCAGCAGCCACATTAAAGTACATGCCACCAGCCGGTGTGGCTCCGTGGATCGAGTGCTGTCCCATGTACCTGGAGGTCATTGGTTGATTCCTGGTCAAGGCACATGTAGGCTCAATCCCCAGTAGGGGGTGTGCAGGAGGCAGCCCACCAATGTTTCTCTCTCATCAATGTTTCTCTCTTTCTCTCTCTCACTCTCCCTTCCATTCTCTCTGAAATAAAAGATAAATATTTTAAAAGAAAAAAATATATATAAATGTACATGCTCTCTGATAAGCTCTAAGAAGTTATCCATGCACTTCTCTTTCCTCCTCTGCCCTGCTTTGCAGGGAACATAATCTCCTGAATCTGCCTGGCTCCTTAGCCCTAACGTCTCCCGTGTGGCTCAGCACGGGACCCGGATGGAGGAAACGGAGGGGGGTACTTACCCCAGCCTCCCCACCCGCCTCCCTCCCAGGGGCCTGCTCAGGTTACAGTGCCTGGAAGGCAGCCAAGCCCTCTGCCAGGGTAACTCTCTCCAGGGCCCTGTCCATTCATTCTGCCCCGCCCCCACTAACAGCCCCCTGATGAGCTCCTCGGTTTACCCTCTGAGCATGCCTGCTGCTCCACCTGATCCCAGCCAGGACCCTGCCAGATACATCCTCCTCAGAAATGCACCCCAACCCCAGACACAAATGCCTTCCCTTCCCCCGCGTGAACTTGACTTGGGGAGGCAGAAGTACGTGGCTTCTGTTCGTGGTGGCAGAGCCAGCACGCAGCACAGCCGGTGTACACGAAGGAATTGCTAAATACGTGTTTGTTTTATAGCAGTAAGTGTTTGTTTTATATCTTGTACAGAACGGGTGAGACACTGTTTACTGAACTGTCTCCCAGACATTGGACACGGGGGACACAGCCAGGAACATACAGTCACACTCAGGAATGTGCCTGTCAGAACAAGATAATCCTGTGCGTGTCGGCCGGAAAGATATAGGTCTAGAAAGTGAAAAAAGTTAAAACCACTATCTCAACTGTCTTAGCCTCCTCATTTAAATAAGAGTGGTCGCAGGCCATGTGTTGGAAATCTGAAAGGGCAAGGAGCTAGAGCTTGGTCCATTTGGGAGATGGAGCATTTGGGAAAATGAAAAAAAAAGGTCTTTTTTGTTTAATAATAATTTTTTATTGTAACCACCTAATACTAGACATCTTCTGAAATACAGCCAAGCCCTGGGTCCCCAGGCCTGCCCTGACCAGGAACCAAACCGGAAATCATCAAGTAAGTACCCCTGGTTATGGAACTGGCTGACAATGGGACATTGCCTGACGCTGGCAGCAAAAGCCTAAACAGACTCTGGTGCTACAACACCGAACGCCAAGAGCAGCCCCTCGGTTGCCTTCCTTCTTCTCACTTTGCTTAGCGATGGCTCTGTGTGCCTCTGGCATCTCATGCAGGTCTGTGACCCTCAGGCCCCCAGCTTTAATGTCCTCCGAGAGGCTGCCCCAGCCACCATTTAAAATGAGAACCTCTGTCGAAACCGGTTTGGCTCAATGGATAGAGCGTCGGCTTGGGGACTGAAGGGTCCCAGGTTCGATTCCGGTCAAGGGCATGTACCTTGGTTGCGGGCATATCCCCCGTAGGGGGGTGTGCAAGAGGCAGCTGATCGATGACTCTCTCTCATCGATGTTTCTAACTCTCTATCTCTCTCCCTTCCTCTCTGTACAAAATCAATAAAATATATTTTAAATAAATAAATAAATAAATGAAAATAAAATGAGAACCTCTAAGGAGGGGTCCCCAGGCCAGCAGTGTCAGTGTCACCTGTGAACTCACTGGAACGTCCCACATCGCCACCCACCATCCATCGGAGACCTCTTACTTCGCTTCCTCAGTCCTTCGAAGGCCCGAGTACGGGGAGCTCATCCTTGTGCCGTACCCCTCCGCAGTCAGCAGCACCCGCGGTCCAGAGGCTGAAAGCCGTGGCAGACCTGACCTGTCCTCCATCGCCCCCAGCACAGCCACCGGGACCCGAGCTTTCTGCCTCTGAAACCGCCCCTGGGCCCACCAGGGTCATCTGGCCCCGTCACCACACTCCCAGACTCAGGCCACTCATATGCATTCCCTCTCGTTGTCTCTCCTCAGCTGTCCCAGACACAGCAGCCTACAGCCACGCTAACCTGCCATTGCTAAGACACACCAGGCCCTCTCTGCATTGGCTGGGACTTGGACTTCACTACTCAGCTCAAGCTCCCTCCTTCACCACCCCTGTGCTGAACCAGCAGGCAAATGGGTGTTCTCACCGCAGGGCATCCAGGCACCTCTATCAGAGCTCCATCAGATGGCCATTAACTGGAGAATTACCCAAGAGCAGGAATGCCCTGACTCCGACCCAGCTCCTGGCCAGTGGGAGGTGCTGAATGAGGAGCCCCTGGTCACTGCCCGTCAGCATGTCCATTTGCACGTTCCCAGCTCAGGGAGTTGTGCAGCGGGGCCTTCAAAGCCGGGCGGCCCTGCCTCTGTGGCAGTAAGGTTTCACACACACACACACACACACACACACACACACACACACACCCGAAACCTGGGAAACCACCGTGTGCGAGCACAGCCTGACCCCTCTGTAAGTCAAGGCCTTCTCCGCCTCCCACATCCTGGCTGGCATGGGCACAGGGCGCTTCCTGCCATGGGGGTGGGTGGGGGGAGAGTGACATTGCAGACACCGGCTTCTCCAGCCTCCGGCGCTCCCTGCTCAGACACCAGCTGGTGGTGCAAGCCGGGACAGGCAGGTAGGCCTCTCTGGGGGCAGCGGCAGATGTTTCCCATACTTTCCATAACCAACATGCCGTGTGGTCCGGGCCCTGATGGGGCGGATTCCCAACGAACTCCCTCCAGCCCGAGGCGCCCACACCTGGTCCTTCCAGCTCAGCCGGAAGCGCTCCTTTGCAACTGAGAACCTGCGTGATGCAACGCTGTCATCCTGGAAGCCCCACGTTCTGAAAGCGGTCAGTTACCAAACCGGTCAAGACCGCGGTTACAAACCAAGTGCAGCCCCGAGGCGACCCGCATAGCTGTCATGTTTGTCTCCAAGGCCTGCGTGCAACCTTGGGAGCGGAGAGCCACGGAGCGCCCAGCGCTGTGGGCACGGGACTCCTCTGGAGAGGAGCCTGGCAGAAGGACACTCACTGGGAGGCACACACACACCTGGTGTCTCACCCACAGCCCCGCCTCGTGACCCTCACACACGCCAGCAGGTAGCTCCCGGCTCTCCATGTCCAGGCCGAGGGCAAGGCAGCTTTGGCCTCATGTCTACTTTCACACCATCGCTAGCACGGGCATGTCTCTTCTGCTAGTGAGTCCCCAGAACCTTTCTGATCCCGGGTCTCTGACGGGGTGGGGTGTGATGCTCCAGGTGAGGTGACCACCAGGTTGGGCTTGCGGTGCAGCTTCCGCCCCCAAAGCTTTGGGGGTGTCTCAGGGTTCGCTCTGCCCGGTGCTGAGCTTGGCACTGCTGGGTAAACTGCACGGTCCCACCGCCCTGTCTTGTACCTCTGAGCAGTAGGACAGGATTCCTGCTCAGGTTTCCTCCTTACATTCATGTCTGGAGCTGAGGGCATGCCCAGGGACACCCCCCCACACACACACACACACCAGCAGCTGCTCTCAGGCCTGGACTCTGAGGGGAAGGAGAAGAGGGTCTTACCTGCCTGCGCAGCTGTGATGAGGGCCGTGTTCCCCTCGCTGTCCTGCCAGTTGACGTCAACATGGGGGCACTCTGCCAAGACCACCACAGCGTCCACAAAGCCGTGGTAGCAGGCGACAATGAGGCTGGTCTGGAAACAGAGAGGGAAGCGGGTCAGAGGTGCCGAGCCCAAGGGGCTGAACAGCAGCAGGGGAACAAGGAGTATCCCATCGGGTCATCCTCAGGTGTTCATTGAGCATGGACTACGCGTGAGGCACCCTGCCTGGGCAACGCCAGAGAACCCAGATCCCTGCCTTCACGGGGGAGGGCGAGGACTCACACCGACATGAACTGTAGACCTAACATGTAAGGGACAGCGTGTTAGAAGATCCACTGGCCCACAGGAAGTGTCTGAGTGCAGGGGGCACAGTTCCGTCTTAAACAGGTGCTGGGTGGACCCACCGAGGAGACATTGGAAGGGTAAGTAGGAGGTGAGGGGACAAGCCAGGGGACATGAGGGAAAGGCCCAGGCAGAGGACACGCCGCGCCTCCCAGGGACCAGCCAGGAGGCCCTGGAGCAGAGCGAGAACAGGCCGGAACGCTGGGCTTTGTTTCTGCGAAGGTACTTGGAAGATACGATTAACGTTTAAGTCAGAAGATGCTGACTAAACAGGCTGTTCTCTGTGCTGAGGATGAGCCTCCAACCAATCAGCTGACGACTTGAAGAGAGCAGCGTGGGAAGGAATTCTGCCTCTGGACTTGAGCTGCTCCTCTCCCTGGGTCTCCGGCTGCTAGCCCATCCTGAAGACTTTGCACTTGCTAAGCTGCCACCATCGCATGAACCGGTTCCTTAAAATAAATCTGTGCCTGTGTATATCTATAGATATACAGAGTTAGAGATACACACACACACACACACACACACACACACTCTCTCTCTATTGGTTGTTTCTCTGGAGAACCCTGATTCATACAGGGTAGGTGTAGAAGGAATACTTTGGAAGAACTATTTTCATTTTTTTACACTCTCTGTTTCTGTACAGTTAGCATTCTTTAAACCGAGCTTTATTTATAAGGAACACGCCTGATTTTAACTCACAATGAAGACCAAGTAAGCAAACATGATGTTTACATGAATAGCTTTCTCATAGGACCTACGGTTTTATAACAACCATGTACATGACTGTGGAGCGGAGAGGAAGGGAGGTGGGCAGAAGAAGCGGAAGCTGACAGACAGCCAAAGGAAGAGACGGAGGCACTAAGAAGCACACGCAAACCCATAAGCAGATGGTACAGTACAGAGCAATTAGTCCTGATCATTCAGAAGGGACAGGATATTATCATCTTCAGATGTGTGAAAAAAGTGCCATCATTCATCATGTAATGTTGTTAAAGTTCATAACCAAGAGAATAAACTTCAGTTACTTGAAAATCCATGTCTGTGACACATCTTTCTCCATGATAACACTACGGGCAGGGCGGGGAACCGTGTATGCGGCTTCAGGGACTCTAGTGCTCCAAAGACAGGCCCTGTGTTTCTGAAAGGCAGCCATGCGCTCCCATTAGCACAAGCACAATGTATTGGATATTATGTGTTAGGTGTAGTTTCAATAGTCTCACCTATGACTAAGCGCCATGAGAAGAGAGTAAACCCAGGACTGGGATTTGATCTGCCTTGATCATTCCAACATGGCCATGACTGGGCTCTCCCCAGTGCCATCGCAGTCAGTTTTCCATGCCTCCAAGTCTCCACATGGGCAGTGGCCTCTACCTAGAATGCCCTTCCTCCCACCCCATAGCCTTCATTATATAGTCTGACCCTCCTGCAGGTCTTTTTTTTTTTTTAATATATATTTTATTGATTTTTTACAGAGAGAAAGAGAGAGGGATAGAGAATTAGAAACATCGATGAGAGAGAAACATGAATCAGCTGTCTCTTGCACCACTCCTACTGGGGATGTGCCCGCAACCAAGGTACATGCCCTTGACACTCTATCCACAGGCTGACGCTCTATCCACTGAGCCAAACTGGTTTCGGCCCTCCTGCAGGTCTTGATTCAAGCCCCTTTGCACCCATTTCCTGGTGCCCTCATCAGACTGCCTCGCACAAACCACCGCTCCCTGGAAGGTAAGTGTATCTTTTTAACTTTGTCCTCCCGCGCCTGACATGTACAAAACCCTGGCAAGCATGTGTTGGATGAATGAAACATCCCTGAACCATTTCAGTACCCCCTACCTCGCCAGCACTCAACTTCCTCTAAACCCAGGAGCTGACTTACGGTGAGACACGTGAGCTTTGAGCTTGTTGTCTGACTTCCATATTCAAGCCAGGAAATTACCTAAGGTCCCAGGAAAACCTCAAAGAAGAGAGCTGCCTTTCGTGTGGTTAAGTATCATTCTAGGCTGGTGCTGCCAGATCTGAGGCTGAATTATGTTGATGTGAAAGCACAGAATATGAAAGTGGGCTCAAGAATTCCATCCCAAGGAATTCCCTTTAGGGACATCAAAAGTATGTCAAGAGATCTAAATAAAGATCTGTAATCGCAAAAGCCTGAGAATAACCCAAATATATATATCAAGAGTTGACTGGCTGCGTTTACGCTGTGGGACTCTGTGTCGCCCCCAACAGGAACGAGGCTGGAATGCAGACGATGAAGTGAAAAGATCTTTGCAGGATAATGTTAGGTCAACAAAATGAAAAGGAAGCCCCTGCACGGAAAAACATCTTTGCCAATGACACATCTGCTAAAGGGTTAATTGACAAAATATATAAGGAACTTATACAACTTAACAAAAGGAAGACATACAACCCAGTTTAAAAATGGGCAAAGGACCTAAATGGCCACTTCTCCAAAGCGGACTTACAGCCAAGAGACATATGAAAAAATACTCAAAGTCACTAATCATCCAAGGATGCAAATTAAAACAATAATGAGGTATCACCTCACCCTTGTCATAATGGCTACCATCAACAAATCAACAAAGGACGAGTATTTGCGTTCTTTGCAAGGAAGTGGAGAAAAGAGAAGCCTAGTACAGTGCTGGTGGGAATGCAGACTGGTGCCGCCACTGTGGAAAACAGTATGGAGTTTCCTCAACAAATTAAAAATGGAACTCCCATTTGACCCAGTGATCCCACTTCCAGGAATATATCCTAAGAAACCCAAAAACCAATCAGAAAGAACATATGCACCCCTATGTTCATAGCTGTGCTATTTCTAATAGCTAAGATATGCAAACAGCACAAGTGCCCATTAGTAGGTGATTGGATAAAAAAGCTGTGGTACACCATTGAATACTATGCAGCTATAAAAAATAAGAATCTCTTACCATTTGAGAGAACATGGAGGGACCGGGAGGAAATTATGTTAAGCAAAATAAGCAAGTTAAAGAAAGACAAGTATCACATGATCTAACTCATATGTAGAATCTAATGACAAAAATAAACTGATGATCAAAATAGATCCATAGATATTAAAAAAAAAAATGGAACAAACTGATGAATCTCAGAGGGAAGGAAGGGTTGGGGGGGGGTGTGGAGAGAGATTAACTGAGGAATTTATATGCATATATGCATAGCCCATGGTGCAGACAATAGTGTGGTGAAGGCCTGGGAGGGGCAGGTATGGGTGGACAGAGTCAAGGGGAAAAAAAGGGGAGAGAACATTTGTAATACTCTCAACAATAAAGATAAGTTTAAAAATCAATAACCTCAGGTGAGAATAGTGTACATGATAGGTCCTCTTTTTGTGTGAACTTCTAAAACGTGTGCAGGTCTCCTGCAAAGGCTACGTTCATAAAAGATCTTTTATTTTTCTAAAGGGAGATGAAAATTTAACTGGCCACCTTCAAGACACAGAAGAGAGGAGGCTTTGAGAGTTAACTGTGTATTTTGGATCTGTCTCAATGTCCTTTCAAGGTGCAGACATCTTGTCATTATACAAATAAAGTTATTTTGGCAATGAGGTTACAGGTGATATTTATATTTTTATTCATGCTTCTCTGCATCAAATAAAGAGATGGCTAGTAAATTGTTTTAAATGTTAAAAACGTACATTGTGAAAGGTAAACTGCATACACTATGTCAGGAGAATTCTTATAAGGCAGGCTCACCTAGCAAATTCTGGACAAGGAGTAAATTCAAGGTTTTTATGATTCCGAACAATTCCACTTTAGAGACTACATTTTATATACAATGTGAATTTTATCATCGTTGCAAACCCCTTGTTTAGATTTGTAATTTTAGACTGTGATTTTTAGAAACTACTTTGTTCAACTATAGTCTATCCTCAAATCCTGTGTGTGTGTGTGTGTGTGTGTGTGTGTGTGTGTATGAGAGAGAGAGAGAGAGAGAGAGAGAGAGAGAGAGAGAGAGAGAGAGAGAGAGAGAGAGAGAGAGAGAGAGAGGAGACCTACCTTGCCCAGTGCTGGCAATGGTTTCCACATAGTCATCTTGCAAGCATTCAGTGATCACAAGCCACCTTATTTATTAGCAAGTCACCTGAAGACAGTGATCATCAAAAATAAGATCATCAAAATAATGGCATGTTCTCCTCACCACTGACTCATCTAACCTATCGGAAGTTGAAGATTGGAATTTCCACAGTGCATATTTTCACAAAGCTCAACAGAGAGCTTTAAAGAGAGAGAATAGCCAGAAGAATAAAATGTAGAAAACCCAAATGGAACAGAACCCCTCCCCATGAGAAAGATCTGATGCAGGGTGTGCCACACAGCAAGGGCGCGGAGCGTGTCTCCACAGCACAGACTCAGGGCCTCCAGCCCGTCAAGCCCTCAAACCACACAGCCCTCAGACATGGCAACCTTATGAGAGACCCTGGTCAGAACTGCCCAGCCACGCTGCTCCTGAATTTCTGAGCCAGAAGCTGTGGGAGAAAATAAATGCAACATTACATAATGCAAACAATGAGCTATTGACAACACCAATCACAATCTTCTGAAAACCATACGTATTAACAGACAATTTATGTTTCTGTCTTGACGAATGGATCCTCAGATTAAAGTTGAGTATATGATTATACAAAAAAAAATAATAATTAAATAATTAAATAAATAAATAAATAAAATAAAACACCCAATTAAATAAAATGTCCTAGCATTCATTAGTAACCAGCCATTGTGAATTACTAG